TAAAGCATGACTGCCTGCAATATGTATGTTGTATATACAAGACTTCATTATTTTCCCTGTATGTCAATACTAAAACTATGAACATACTTTAGAAAGGGGAGACACCAGCAAGAAAAATGTTGTTAGTGTCAGAACTTCTTGCTGCAATTTTCAAAAAGTCACTATACTCCATAGGAATCACTAATAAAATTTCTATATGAATTCACTATATTTTTCTTTGAAATCACTCTGCTAAATACCACCTTCACATATTCTGAAGTTTTGTAAATTCATTGTAAAGACTATTGGCAGACTTACATTGCCCTGGAAAGTATGACATCAGCATTTGGCACAAAGCTCTGGTCTTTCTGAGGTCACCTCTACCTTCTTTTTGCGAATTATGTGACCTTTATATTACTTTCTTCCCTTGCTCTGTTCTGTGCTGGTGAATGTTCAGCTCTGTATTGCCTTTGTGATCTATGTCAAGGAAAAAAGTTTGCTCCTGGGTAATCAGGAACTGGTTTGTGACTATATTATTCCTAAAATCCAGATTGAAGGATCATCACCAAAGAAAATAGTTGGATTAGTAAGGTTTGGAGACAGCACATGTGCAGTAGGGACAATCAAGGAACAGAGTGAGTGGAGAAAACCAAACTAGTAAAGTGGGTACTAGAAATTCTAAAACATTTTTTGAGAATGTTGCAAGTTGATGTTTTAATGTCATATTTTACTACATTCTCATGAATTCGCATCCACCTGTTTTTAGAGGCAGCATTTCTTTTGTCAGTAAAATTCTCAATGCTTTAGCCTTTTGAGCCTCTGAAACTAAGAAGTTTTGAATTCATTATGTTAAGTCTGATGACAATTTTCTGAAAAACTGCAGTAACTACTGTGTTTTTAGGGTGAGAAACTTAGACTTATTTATTTGTTTATATATAAAGACAGGGTTCTATTATTATTATTTACCTTATCTGTTGATTTTGAAGTAGTTTCTCTATGGTATGGAAATTATTCAGGATAAAAGAATTGTAAAACATCTAAGTTATATAAATATGTATGGAGGGATACAAGCTGTTTGTATGCACAATAGGATGACAATAAAAGCAATCTGTAAGCTTCTTCCAAAAGTGATCTCTTATAACCACCCACTGTTTAGTCATTTTGTAATAATGTGATGGATGAAAATGTTTTGAAACTGAAATACCAAAGAGATCTGCTCAAATTGCATCTGCAGATGACAAAATAATGCTGGAAATATATAGATAATAAGGTGTCCGTTCAATACGTCTAAGCACCAATACCCTGGAGAAGCAGAACTTGTAAACATGATGGTAGCAACATCCTATAGTATGATGTTGGTGTATCCCACAGCTAGTGATAGTTTTGTTTAGTTTAGACTAAAGATCTAGACATAGGTTCCTGGACCAGTTACAGGAAAAACTGGGAATTTTTAGTACTTTTTTCACTGTTAAATCCTGAGAAAGATTCTTTAGTCATAGCTATAGACCTGGAGATCACAGAATGAATCATAGACTGGCTTAGATAGGAAGGACCTTAAAGATTATCTAGTTCCCATCTCCCTGCCATGGACAGGGACAACTTCCACTAGACCAGCTTGCTTTCAGCCCCATCCAACCTGGCCTTGAACACTTCCAGGAATGAGGCAACCACAGCTTCACTGAGTAACCTGTGTCAGCGCCTCACCATCTTCACACTAAAGAATTTCTTCCTAATCAAAACCTAACTTCTTTTAGTTTAAAACCATCCTCCAGCCTTGCTCTGTCACTCTCTGCCAGTGTAAAAAGTCCCTCTCCCTCCTTTTTATAAGCTCCCTTTAGGTACTGGAAGGTACTTTAAAGTCTCCCCAGAGCCTTCTCTCCTGCAGGACGAACAACCCCAACTCTGTCCACCTTTCTCCACAGGAAAGGTGCTCCACCACTGTGATCTGAAATGTATAAGGAGCACCTGTGAGTTTTGTCAGACTAGATACTTACTTTCTGCAGCTTTGTGTTATCACTTTTCCTGAGAGGTAATGTGGAATGATATAAAAAACTACCATTTTGATTTGATCATGTGTTGAAGCCACCTTGCATTCACTTTAAAGAGTGGCCCCAAATGTCTCCAGGTGAGTGCTGTTAACTCAAGGAGGCTTAACCTGATTTAAAGCACCATGGAAAGAAATATAATCAATGTATTAATGTAGGAGGCTGGAATGAGGGGAATCTTTAGATTCCCAAAGTTAAACTTCTGAACTGAATTGTTATAACTGTAATCAAAATTTTTCATTAGGTCTCTTATATTAATTAAAGGAAACAAAAACCAAAAAAAAAAAAAAAAAAAAAAAACCACACAAAACCAAAACAAATCAAACAAACAAAAAAGCACAACAAACCCCAAAACAACTAACCATGCAAAAAAACCACTCCATGAGAACCAAAACAAAACAAAACCAAAACCCACAAGAAAACTCTGAAAATCAAAACTACAGAAGACTTTAAAAATGGAACTGACTTCTTTTATATATCCAGATACTCTGGAGAGGATGTAATCAGTGCTACATCTTTTTAGTGGGCAGCTACTGTGACCTCATACACCTCATGGTACATGAGCTCAGCTCATATACCACAGGATCAGAAAATGCCTGCATTTTCTGTAAGTACTTTGGCCCATGGGATGTACAAACTTTTAGTCAGAGTTTAAAGGTATAAAGCAAACACTGTTTTAAGTTCTACAGTACACAACCATGGCTAAAATGTAATTAGTAAAAAATGCTAGGCAAGAGCGTTGTGTGACCAGAACTATTCAATCAGAAAGTGCTGATTGAACATATATAATCACAATCAAAGCCTTTATTTAAATAGGGGTTACAGTCCTAATAAAACACAAAGGGAAATAGGGGCAGAGGGCTTCTAGACAGGTAATGAAAGAAAAAATTAAACTCATCCAATTACATCTGGGGAAAAATCCATTACCTATAACAGTGAGAGGACAGCCCCAGGAAAATTCAGATGCAAAACTAATAATGAAGGCGCAGTGTCCTTTCAACAGATTCTAAATGAGCTCTAATTTTCTTACATCCACCATTCCCAAACTATATAAATTTCAACTAAGCAGAAAAAAAGTGACATGCTAGCACAATTGTTATTCCAAACAGGCACAGCTGCTTGCTCACCTTAATTAGACCTAATCCCAAAAGGGAACCAATCTTTCCCTATTTTCTTCGATGAGCTCACCTGATTTACCTCAACTTTTCTTTTCTAATAGGTTTTGCCCTAACCTTTCAGCTATTGTCGTTTCAGAAATTCTAATGGGAACTGAAGAGCTGCAGCTCCCTTGTGCCAAACTGTTTTATCCTTTTTTTTTTTTTTTTTTTCTTTAAGTGAGTTTTTCCCAAATGTCAAAATCTTACTGAGGTGAAGAAGCATTTTGAGATGTGATGGGATGGGGTGGGAGAAGCTAAGAATAAAGAGAGGGGGGAAAAGTTGGACGTGGTGTGTGATTTTTTAAATCTTATTTTCTAAGATTCTGGGTCAAATCAGGAGCTTGCCTCCAACAAAACCCCTAGGAATGTGGGGATTGCAGAAAAGACAAAGGCTTGCATGGTCTGACCCCTGGGTGCTGTGGCAATGCACAGTATCTTGGTGTCTGTGTCAGTGATGGTTATGGGAACAGAGTTTCAATACCCACAGAGGTGAGTCTAATATAGGGATCTGCTTATGTCCTATTTTTGTTGACCTCCACAGCAAGCTGGGTAATCATATCAGAAGAATGTAACTTTGTCATTAGTACTTCAGATGAGAAAGGGTGTTCAGAAAAACAGAGCGAGGTCCTGAAGGTCTTTCATTGTCAGAGCGTTCACTTTCCCAGCTTCATCTAATCCCAAGGTTTTCCATCAAAAGTGGCAACAAAGACACACTCATTTTTCACAAGAGATGTCAGAGTTTATACTGTGGAAACATTGATAAAGAATTGTGCTACAAAGAGTTTTTAAAACCACAACACAAGTCAGAGAAAAAAGTTTCCTAGTAACACAAATCAGCCTGTTACAATTACTATCAGGATACTTTTCAACTCACTGCATTTTGCACTTTCAAATGAAAGCTACATTAGTTGGCTATAAATCCACTTGTAAATACAGTCTCTTCTCTAGCTATCAAGATACATGCTCAAAATGTGTTTTAAGAAAACATCTTCACATTTCAGTACTGCTCGTATGCCACACCCCCACCCCCACCAGGCTGAGTTTAAACTTGAATTTGCTTTGTCTAGATTTGGGCATGTGAGGTCAACTCATTTGGAACCGATGAAGATAGTCATGAATAAGAAATTAAAGGACCTAAAAGTATTTCTAAGGGCCAGATCTGTGTATATACACAGCCTGACCCTTGCCAAGAGATCACTTCAGTGTTCCTGAGTCCATGTTAACTCATGGTCATTTGATTTCAGAGCAAGTGCTTTAATTTAAAACACTTATTGCAACTGAGAGATGAGAAAAATAACAGTATCTGAATAGCTTCTCCTTTGAATTAATATGTAAGCAATTAAATATACCTACCTGTTCAACATAACTACTGAAATATATTTTACCTGTTCAATGTACCTCTAAGTTCATTATAAATAAGAAAACACTGACGTTTCCTTTTAAAAGATTTTCATTATGTAACTTTTGCACAAATAATTCAGTGTAATGAACTTAAACAGCACAGAAAATTTTTTGTAATGCAAAAATGCATTAATTTTTGGCTTTCTTTTAATATACCAAGTACCTTTCTAAATACTCATTTCTTTTCCTTCTGAGCGATAAAGGGGCAAGTAGTCAATGAAGAATAAAGGGAAGAGTAAAGAAGGAAAAAACCCCATAACTATTTGAGTTTAATAAAAATTTTAACAGTTATGAAATAGTAGAAATGAAAACACATTATTACAGAAAACACACAGATGTTCAACTACTATGGTCAGATATTATATTAGTTCTTGTACAAATCCATTCCTAAGGACTGATTCTCATGTTCTATTTCCAGTGTTCTTCAAAACCTCTGGAAGAAGAAAATCACCTACTGTTATGTCTGTTGAAAGGATCGTTGATGCTCATTGTAGGGGTAAACATTTGGTACCTTCCTTTCTTTATCTTGTCACAGCTCTATAAGCTGAAATCTGTATATTATTTCCCAAACTTTTGGAGTTTATTATTTTCAAAAATTATGTTATGAAAACAAAATGGCAAGAGAAAAATAAGGACCTTTTTTTTCTGTTTTGCTTTGTTTGCTTGTTTGCTTATTTGTTTCCTTTTACCCCGGAGATATCAAGTGTCCAGTCCTTTACATCTCTTGACTACTCCTAAAGGGACATTAAGACCACAGTCTTTGAGAGAAAGCGACAAAAGGAAACATCCAGAAGAGAGCTAGCAAAAGCAACAAGAATTCATTTGTGAATTGCAACGTTGGTGATACTGACTCTTCAAATGGGAAATTTTTACCTGAATATTCACATCGTCTAAACTTCACATTATCTTCTTTGATGGTCCAGTCCCTTAGATTGACTGCTGTGGTATGGCCTGGTTCCTTCAATTCTTTAAATCCTTTTCTGAGTGTAGAAGCAGAGCTAAAGAACTTTCTCCTCTGCAAGGGGGGAGGTGAAGTCCAGCCTTTAAAAAACATCTGAGGAGTAAAGTTGTACAAATAGCCACTGACTTGTAAAGGAAAAATCCTTCTTGACAAGAAAAGGCTGAGGTAAGAAGTCATGCTTACAGCCTAATGACTGATACAAGGGGAATATTATCATTACAGTATTTAGTATTTAGTATTGATTTACCACATGGAAAACTGAAAATCTAGTTTTCTATTCCCCAGTCCTCCTTTAGATGAGGCTTCTACAAGACAGAGAGGTAGAGTCAAGAATCAGCAAATAAAATGTCAGAGAATAAGACTCAATATAAATTTCTGCTATCAGTGTAAGGACATTTAGTTGGAAGAAGGGTAAACCTGAGCTCTAGGCAATGTATGCCTTCTACATGAAATAATCTTTACAAGAGGGAAGAGAAGCCAAGAAAGTGCCAAGAGCTTGCCACTGAGCAAGGAATTGCAGCTTGAGGTTTTGGAGCTTTTGTGACTCTTTCTTTTTTGTCAATCCAACAAAACTTAATTCTATTATGTTCAGAAGAATAAGAACCATGCTCTCCTCTTATTAAATAGCCATCACCATAGTGATTAAAGTGCTTTACTTAGGGGTGAGAAATGTAGGCTTGAATCTACTCCAGAGGATGAAGGAAATGCACACATAACTAAATCTCCATCTTCTCTGGCCAGGATCTGTCCAGTCTAACACTGAGAAGAGACACTTTGATTGAGATTTTTACTGTGGAAATCATACTGCTGGATACTGCCCCCACTCCCAACAGCCAAACATGCATCTTCATCCATTGCCCTGTGATATGCCACAGACTGGGGGAGGAAAAGCTGTAATGATGGGACAATAGTGATGGCTGTTTTAACACCTTTGGGATGCCATCTGTCTGTGGCTTCAGTGCAAGCATTCCTGGGGATGACAGCGAATACCTGAATAAAGTACCTATTGATTTAATGCAGCAATCTCCTACCTAACAGAAAAAAATTAGGACACCTTCCTATGTAGGATAGTATTTAAACACAAGCTTCATTTTAATTTAATTTTAAGCATGTTTAATACATTCCTGAATCAGGGCCACTTAGGTAATTGTGTGGCATAATTGCAACAGCCTACTTTAAAAGTGCTGTGTAGCACCACAGAAATGTAATTCCCAGTGTCTGTTTAAGGAGGTGATCTATAGCTTAATGTTAGTATAATCGTCATTTGATTCAGCAGTTGCTTAGATTGTAACATTGTAACAGTGTTAAAAAAAGATAAATAAATACATAAAATAGCATAGTGTAAATTCCTCTTAAATTACCACTCCCCCCCTCTATGCATAATGCATCAAATGTACTTAGCACCACTGAACCGGATAACACTTTTTTTAGATGACTCACTATCTTCATGTTGGAGTCACATTCCATTGCAGAGAATAAAATGTGTTACCCTTGGGAGCAAAGAGATTTGAAGGGGAAAAAAAAAATCTGAGGGAATAACTTCACATCCATTATTTGAGATGGTTCCTGTATTGGGTTGGTGTGGCCAGGTTTCAGTAGCAGTGGTTGCTACTGGGGTGGCTTCTGTAAGAATGTGCTAGAAGCTTCCCTATTTCCACTGGGGCCAATGCTAGACAGCACCAAGATGGCCAAGGCAGTAGTGCCTGTAGGATGATGTATTTAACATGGGAAAAAAGTTACTGCCCAGAAACCTTTGCAACTGGAGAGACTTGCAGACACCCAGGTCAGTGCAGAAGGAGGGGCAGGAGGAGCTCCAGATGCTGGAGCAGAGATTCCCCTGCAGCCCCTGCTGCGGCCCATGGTGGGGCAACTGTGCCCCTGCAGCCCATGGAGGTCCATGGGGGAGCAGAGATCCACCTGCATCCATGGAGGAGACCACACTGGAGCAAGTGGATGACTAAAAGAGGTAGTGACCCCATGAGAAACACATGCTGGAGCAGGCTCCTGGTAGAACCTGTGGCTCTGTAGAGAGAGGAGTCCATACTCCAGCAGGACTTGTGACCTGGTGGGAAACCCATGCTGGAGCAGCTTGTGAACAACAGCAGCCTGTGGAAAGGACTCACTTTGGAGTGGTTTGTGAAGGACTGTCTCTCACACGAAGGACCCTACAGTGAAGAAGGGGAAGGGCGTGAGGAATCCAACCCTTGCGGTGGCAGGAACAGCAGAGACAACCTGCAAAGAACTGACCCCAGCTCTCTTCTCCCTTCCCTTGGGTTGCAGTGGGAGAGCAGGTGGAGTGACAAGACTTGAGGGAATGGTCTGAAGTTGTGTCAGGGGAGGTTTAGGTTGGGTAATAGAAAGAAATTCTTCACCCCAAGGGTAGTTGGGCACTGGAACAGGCTCCCCAGGGAGGTGGACACATCACCGAGCCTGACAGAGTTCAAGAAGCATTTGGATGATACCCTCAGGCACAGGGTGTGACTCTTGGGAATGATCCTGTGCACAGCCAGGAGCTGGACTTGGTGATTCTTGTGGGTCCTTTCCAACTCAGGATATTCTGTGATTCTGTGAATTCAGGAGTAAAACTGAGGTGTTTTTTGATGTGGTTTTATTTCTCTTTACTTTCCTCTGATAAGATTTGCAGTAAATTAAAATAATTTCTCCAAGTTGAGTGTGTATTACCCACGACAGTGAGTGATCTCACCCTGTCCTTGCACCAAGACATAAGCCTTTTGTTGTTTTTTCTCTCCCCTGTTCAGCTGAGGAGAGAAGTGACAGAGCAGCTTTAGTGCGGACTTGGTGTACAGCCAGGGGCAACTCACCACAGTTCTGTAAAATTCAAATAACTTATGACAAAGACATGGATTATTGTTGTTATTAGTAGTATTATTTAAGAAAATGGCCTTTAGCCAGCTTAACAAACCATCTTGCAAATTACATTACTTATAGCATTTTGCACTGTAAATTTCTTTTTGTTTCTAAAATATGTATGTTTTGAGGGCTTATAATTAACCTACTTCCATCATTTATATTTTGATGCATTCATGTGCAACTGAAATAAAAAAAAAAATATTGATGCAACTAATTAAATAAAAGTAAAATCGTATAAAGTTTCATTATAACTGTTATTGATTTGTCAACTGAGTAATATAGCTAGATATATTACTCTGTTGACAAATTAAGTTAAAATGATAATGACACTTAGCCTGATCCTTATTTTTTATTGCATTCCTTCCAGATAATTTCTCATTTCTTATAAAAAAGGAATTCAGCTTTTCTTTTTGGTGCCTCATAAGTCTTTGAATTCAAATTAATATATTAAAGTCCTTCACAATTCCTGTTTCTTTTAATTGAAGTAGAATAATTTACAGTAGTTAATTGGCTTTTGCCAAAGTTAATTTGATGGTAGTGATAGAATGCAGTCAAAATGCATCTATTGTCCGTAGGTGCAATAACATTTAGATAAGTGGGTAATTAAACCACCTGGAATCCAGAGGCCTTCACATTCTCCTTCATCAACACAGAACTTGCTTTGGAGAACAAATGTCCTGTCTTGGGACTAATTGGTATGAGGCAATGTATTTTCCAACAAGAAAAAGGGTGAAGCTCTAGTGAGGTAAGAAAGAGCTGCTCATGGAAACCTACAACCTGTGATGAACAGAGTTCAGTGATAAGTGAGGAATAGGTAAAAGAGGAACAGTTACTCAGTGTTTCTCATAATACAGGAACTTGAGGAGGAAAAAAAATTTAAAAAAAAAAAAAAAGAGAAAAAAAAGTAAATTATGATGTTCAAAAACTAGAAGAACATCATGATGGTTGACCTGGACTGGCTGTTGGGTGATGACCAAACCAGTCTCTCACTCTTGCTCCTGGGTGAAAAAAGGCAGAGAAAATAGGATTAAAAATGCATAGATTGAGATAAAAGCATTTTAATGAAAGAAATCAAAGGCCACATGTGGAAATAAACAAATAAACAAGAATATTTATTCTCTGCTTCCCAACAGTAGAGGATGTCCATCCACTTCCTGGGAAGTAGGGCCTTATTATGTGTAGTGTTCGCTTGGGAAGACCTGATATTTCCCCAAAACAGATTCTATAAAACAAACTTTATTCTTATGAAGCCAAGAAGTGTAACTCTGTGATGAGAAACATGTAGAATGCAACACAATTGTACAATACAGTTCTTCCCAGTTTCTAGACAACCCAGGCACATTTTAGACCCCAGCTATTTAATTCTGGTTCCAAAGCACAGAACTGGTCATGCATTTAATTCTGGAGATGATAATGCTTCAAATGCATTGAAACAGCAGCGTGCTGGCTGTGATGGCAACCATCACACTTACATTCATGCACCATGCACTGAGGGCTGAAGGTTTTAGCCAAACCACAAATAAGGTCTTCTGTAGAAATTGAGTGCTTCTCTGTTAAAATTTCTTTTAATCAAAGATAGGTACATCTTACTGAACATTTAGATCCTTAAAATTATCCTTTAGAGAAAGCCCAAGGAGATAAGTTGACACCATACTGCTCACTGGT